TATATATATGATTCCCAATGCACACAAACTTCCCAGAATACTGAGTGCCCTGTTGGTTACAGTGTTTACTTCCTTTTCAATTACATTTTTATTAAATATTTATTTGAGAAAAATGCTTGTGAAAAGTATGTTTATTTTACACTATTTTTAATCCATTTTCAAATGATTTCAAATTTCTTAAATATTAATTAAAATATATAAAATTATATCGGCTTTATATCGGCCATCGGCCACCCTGCTTTCCAAGATATCGGCATCAGCTGTCAAAAAACCCACTACAAATCACTCATTAAAATGTCATTTTTATGTCCCATAAGATGCTGCACACAGATTAAACTAATTCACACAGGTTTGGAGAGTAAGTAAATGATGACAGGGTAACTGTTCCTTTATGTTACCGTGACAACCATAGTAGAAATAAAGTGTAATGCATGAAAAAAAAATCCACTTGTTTACAACATTAATTTGCCCGTCCAAACACTATGCCAGTAATGTTTATTTATTCTCATAATTGTTAATGTGAGGACTTAGGATTTGGTTGTGGCTGTGGTTTTCAATCTGCAGTGCAGTACTGTCATAACTTGATACAAATGTAGATTAAATTCACATTAATTTCTTCGCTTTTTTTCTAAAGGCATTCTCAGCCACCCTGCTGGTCTAAATGTTGTGCATATAACAGCATATAATGGTATTTTTTGGGGTCAACTGACATCTACATCTTACAAAATTTGGTACACGTGGAGGATTTGAGACTAATTTCCACCATTTGCAACTTTGAGAAATCTGCTTGCAAAATTAAGAAAATTGACATCTAGCAAACCTCCAGACAAAAATTCGAAATAATTGTAATTTCTCAAAACTTTTTGTAATTACATTTTCAGGAGTAATCCATACCAACTATTTGACATGTTATGAAATTCCAAACTTAAACTGAAATTACAGCATAGCGGGGGTATAAACTTTAAAAAATCAAAATAACAAAATAAATTAAATAAATTCACATACATGCCAACCCTGAAACAACATAAACTACCAAATTTTGCTACAAGTTTGATTACAACATATAATTATTGCTGTTAATAGTGTTCATCGTCTGTTTCATTACGTCATAAACTGAATTTTACCGTACATTTCTGCCATATGTACATCAATTTGACAGTCACCACTGATAAGCTACTACTAAATATATTGTAGAAAATTAATTGTCTGTAAAGCTGCTTTGCAACGATTTGTATCGTGAAAAGCGCTATACAAATAAACTTGAATTGAATTGAATACATTCTTAATTTTACGAACAAAAAAGTTGACATTCGGCATCCATTTTTTACCAACATTTGCTGAAATATCAACTAAAAGTGAGATGTTTTCCAAAATGCATATCGCATCAGTAACAACTCAACAAGCATGTCCCCAAATCATGCAACTGTTTCATTTTCAAGCATACTTAGAAATAATACACTTTAACAAAATAAAAATTACACCAGTAGAAATATCCAAATACATTCTTTCTTGCAATGTCGATTTGAAAGTGCAATGTGAAAGGTGATGGTTTGAGATGCAGGGGTCGTACCTGCAGTGTGAAGGGGTCGATGACGTGGCACAGCTGATGAGGTTTGGTGTCAAAAGAGGCTGGACGGTGGAGCAAAAAGCCACTGCTGTGCGCCAACCACCCCGCCTCCAGTTCCTCGTTCCGACAGTACACAAAACCCCTGGGAGGAAGAGCAGAGGACAAAGTTTTAGGTTTCAGGGATGTGCCAGGATTGTCGACAGTTAGTGGAGTTGAGTATTTTTAGACGTGGTGCTTTTAAACAGAGATGCTATTAACTATCGACCCTTTTTCTGACGGTAAACATTGTGACGTTTTTCTGTGGGCGGAGCTTAGGTGGAGGGAGAAAGATTCCCCTGACCGCCAGCTATGAAGTTGGTTAGCTTGTTTTTTTAACAATGACTGGAGAAAATCAGATTTTACCTGCATATGGAAAGGTTATATTATTGATATATACATTTCAATTTCAGCAGGCAGCTATTTTTACAGCTACATTATTATTCCAGCCACAATTAATCACAACAATGTATATACAATTACAAATGATTAAACATATAAATCGTCAGTTTGTTGTTTTACACACATGCACACAGACTTTACTTCATACACGACATAGTTGTGAGATGCATAAGAAATATATAGATGCACCGATAACAGCAAAAGACAATACTTTATTGAACCTTTTCTGATAAGAAGTGTGCGCTGCAAACGCATTTTTGACGATCGTTTCGGTCCAGTCCACTTGTTTTAGCATGTTTAACCACAGCTGTCGTCGGTTTTTTGTCTGGCAGTGGCAGCAGGTATGCGATAAAATTTCTAATTTGAGGCTGTATTACGTCGATTCTGGCACCCAACATCACAACAAGATGATATTTTAAGCTCCTTGTGTAGCCGAATCAACATACATTGACAGGCAGGTAGGACAGCCTATCATAGCGCTCGGACCGAGGGATATGATTGGGCGAACATTATATGGTCCTACGCCTTCCACAGACGATATAAATACATATAAATACGTTTAGACCACTTCACTTAGTGATTGTTAATGGAATGTGAAAAGACTTCAACCAGCATAAAAAAAATGTTTTTGAACCAAATCACCTACCCTGCCATAAATAACAGACAGTGTGTGTGTGTGTGTGTATGGTTGCCTGTTAAGTTTTGTATGCATTTCTAAATTCTGATAATTACTTCTTTTAAATGTTCTAGCTCCTCAAGTTCCTATCCAGCGCCATTATTGATAACTAAACTATTAAAAATAGTTTCCATTAACTGAAATAAAAAATATAGAATTAGATAAAAACAAAGTTAGGTAAACTGAAATAAATCTAAATAGATATATTCCAAAACTAATAAAAATGACAAAAGCACATATCAAAATTATTAAAAATTAAAATAAAATGAAAACTGAAAATATAAAGTAAAAGCTAGTTAAAACATTTTATAAATACTATAATACAGTATATAAATAATACTAAAATAACGCTATTCCTATAGTCCATTACATTTGCAAAATCCTGGTCAGTTAATTAATAATGCACGAAACCCACTCTCTTTTCCTATTTAGTTTCTCTGGAAAAGCCTTAATAGAGTTGTACGGGTTTCAGACAAGTAAATGTTACACATCAAATTATATAAATGTTACATTTCAAATTATACAGGAGAATCTGTTGATTCAGATGGTACACAAGCTGCCATTTAAAATTAATTAATCTAACCAAAAATCTAACTATAATTCAGATACTTTACAATAGTTTTTGTCCTGAAATAAATTATGTTTTTTACACAGAAACTAACAACATCCACTGTGACTTCAGCAGGATAACAATTTCTAAGTGGTTTAACTCTAAGACACATCCCCTATTATGTTGATATTTTCCTTTAGGCAAAATGATTTCTTAAACATGTCCAGGACATTTCTTTACGAGATTCACCCATAAGACTGAGGAAGTGCGAGAAGTCATTTAAGAGAGGAATGAAACACTGACGTTCATCGACAGCAGAATTTCACGGGGTCCAAACATCTAACAAATATAGCTGCTCACAGAGCATAAATGAGAAAGGCAGCAGAACAAAGCAGGAGCTGTAGAAAGAGCACAATAGTGGCCTGGAGGTCACTGGCACAAACAGAAGAGCAGGGCAGGTGGTGAAGTGGTGGTTGTGTGGTTTTAGAGTTACCTCAGCGTCCCATGCTGCCCCGAGCCGAGCTTGCTTAAGCCCTTCCCAAAAGAGTTTGTCGTGTAGAGATAGAAACCATCTGTAGCCAGGCTGCGGCCCAGGTCTGAGTCTGAGACGGGCAAACAGAGAGAGAAAGATGACAGAGAGTGTCTGAGGAGGCAAAAGACAGCAGAGACGCACCGCAAATTCACTTTGAAAGGGAAAAATTACTTCTAGTCAACAGCAAAATAGGAGCAGGGATTGTACTGGTATGCTTAGGGCCCTATGAAATCCATTGTATTTTTTTTCCAAACTCCAGTCAAATTCCAGTCTGTTTCCGTTTTTCGAGAATAAAGCATTTACATTTTTCTGAATTCCATTTTAATGGTAAACTAAATAGTACTAATAAAGCATGTCTAAGTAATTTAAATCATTAAACTTACAATTTAATAACAATTTCTTAAAAGTTAAACCAAAATATATATTTTTTTCACAAATTCAGTTTTATTTTTGTTTGTTTTACTTTTTTTTTTTTCACTTTAATGGTTTAAATTTTAATAATCCAAAACATGTCTAATCAATTGAATAGAAAATGTTGTTGTTGTTTTTTCAGCCAAGTCTGTGTTGTCTCTTTTAATTTTCCAGGAGTTATGATTTAATACAACTTCATTATCAAAAACGGTGGTAATCAAATGAAGGCATAAAAAAAACTAACACATTTTTTTTTTTATGTAATCAAATGAAAATGTAACAATTCCTTTTATTTTTTGGCAAACATAGTGCTGCACAACAGAGGTTTACTGTTAAAAGTAAAACAGGAAAAAAATAAAATTGCAAGATATTCCTTCAAAAAAATAAAAATATGTTTATTATTATTTGAGAAGTTCATTCTACTGTAGTTACATATTTCTGTTACAATTTCTTAAAGTTAAACCAAACTTTTATTTTGAAGGGTTGTCATGAAGACCACACAGAAATGCAAAGAACATGCAGACTACACATTTAAATAGCTTCATATTTTCATAGTCTGTTTACAGTTTATTATTCACAGTTGTTTTTGTGTTGCTGCGCGCAAAGTAGGGCTGCACGATATTGGAAAAAACTCACATTGCGATATTTTGTTCTTCTGCTATATATATTGCAATATGAAAAAAAAAAAAATCAAAAGATGACTTGAATAGCTCTATTTGGGAAAAAATAATCAATGATTGGGGTGATTTTGCAGGTGAATAAATCAGCATAGAAAATAAACAAATTACAAGCATAGATAAATATAACAGAACGAAGATACAAATGAAATAAACAGTGCTTAATATTAAGTCTAACAGTATTCAGGTACAGAAATTGAATAATCAAATGTAAAATAACACTGCATAGTCTTCACTTTATAAATTAAATCTAATAAATCTGTGTTAAAGCTACAAAAGTGATTTTTCTCTGTGTTTTGTTGTTTGATTAACGTTCATGACACAGAAAGCAACAGGAACACTAAACTGCTGTGAACCAATATACTGTTACACATCCATTTTCTTTCTCGATTGTTTACCTTCATCTAAGCCATAAGCAACTGTGTTTACAAGGATACTTGCAGAGACATGCATTTTGACATAATTCCGCGCGTATGAGTCATTACAGGCACAAATAATGCGATGTGACTATCGTGAATGTGCACATCGTGATATCGATGCTCAAACGATATATCGTGCAGCCCTAGCGCAAAGTATTGAGGTTGACAGATAGACCACTATATTATTATTTAGAGCAAAAAAGCAGCAACAAGTTTTACATTTTAGAGACATTTTAAAGAATTGTGTGATCTTATAACTTTCTCAACGCAGTTACAAAAACATTGGTCAGCCATCTCTTTGTCGCTCACCTTTGCTCTCTGCTCCAGCGGCGCTGCTCTCTGGCGTGGGCAGCATGTCCTCAAAGCCCCACGAAACACTGTGTTTCCCCCCTAACAAGCAGGACGGTGAGCCTGGACCTCCCTCAAGAAGCAGCAGTCTGCAAGTGAGAGGATATTACGCATTCTTGAGCAGCAAATCAGCACATTAGAATGATTTCTGAAGGATCATGTGACGCTGAAGACTGGAGTAATGATGCTGAAAATTCAGCTTATAAAACGGAGAGTTCCGGTCCTTGATTCTGATTGGTTGAGCCTCGTTCGAAGCTGTTGTAAATTACTCTACAAACACACACCTTTGTTTACTTCTGTGTGCTGCTCGGCAACCACTTTGTTGGAACCACAACTGTTTCTGAGGAACTACATTGTTTGGTGGAAGAATACTGTTTTTATTAATATCATTACACTTTATTTGCTCTGTTTTATTTTGTGAAACCTTACTACGTATATGGAATAACCGTTTTATAAAAGCAATAAGCCCC